CTGCTATAAAGGGTGTATTCCGTAATATATACCAGTATACTGGCCAGTGCTAATGACGTCATGAATCGACGCTATACTGGTGAATTATTCCGAAATAAATACGGGCCAGTGCACTGACGTCATAAATCGACGAAATATTAAAAATAGTGTGAACAAAGATTATTTATTCACCTCGTCAATTCAAAGAAATCCTTTTTGTTCGGATGCCACTATTGTACTTTAAATAAAAAAGACATAAAATTCGAATGCATCTCACGCACGCTCGGTCATACGTCATATTCGTTTTCTCGGTAAATATATGGTAGCATACCAGTACAATATGGCGTCGGATTCGTGACGTCATTACCACTGGCCAGTATACTGATGTATATTTCGGAATACACCCAAAATGCCCATTTTAATCGTGTTTCGTTAGTCTTGCCATGGGGCTGTAAGACTGAACGTTGTTTTTCCCCAAATGTGAGGTAAATAAATTCCGTAACAATAAAAATTGTATGAAAATAGAATAAGTAAGAGAAAGGGGAAAAAAGGTATTGTGATACAGTTACAGCTTAAGAGTAAAGTAGGTATTTTGACCGTTCTTGCAAAAAGAGTAGATGTAATTGTCATGCACTCTAGTAAAGAGACCTATAAATTATTTAAATAAAAGTAAATATCCAATTATGTCCTTTGATATTGTAAGATAGAGTTAATCAGCTAATGATGTAATATTTTATTAAAAATCTAATAAAGATCAATTATTATATACTATAGGGACCTGACATCCTACCTATTAAGGAATGTGCTAGTTTTGCATTCTCTTTATCATAAAAATTAAGCGCTCATTCCACCTGTCTAAATTCAGACGTTCTAAATCATTCAGTAACTAATCAGTCAAGTGAAATAGCATTTAGGAAGGTAGGATCCTAATTAGCATCCTAAATCGGAAAAACTGTGACTGACTTAATCATTTAGTATCTTAATTAGATTAAGGAAGGTGTAATAGCGTTTAGATGCTTCAGTCGCACCGCAGGTGGCACTGCGTGAGGACGTGTTATGTCTACGATTACGAATTACGCGAGTGTGCGATGTCGGCGTGTAAAAGAAAAAGGCGTTATGAGTAACATAATCGAATTGTATGAACATATGCCTTATCTTTGGAAGAAAAATAATCAAAATAACATTAATATTCTTTTACCCACGTTTTTCGTTTTTTACTTTATTTTATTTTTATTGAGCCAACGCCCTGGCCTACGAGAAGACAGATTTTTTGTTGCTTTGACAGGACTGGAGCCATTATGAAAAAGTCAGACTGAATTCGCCGCGCGCTTCTAACTGACTGAATCAGTAACTAAATTAGTCAAGTGTAATCAGAAGCTTCTAATTAGCCTTCTTTTTAGGATCCTAACTGTCCTAGTTAGGATCTGAATTTAGTCAGGTGGAATAAGCGCTTTACTACTATATTAACAAATTGATATTTCTGAACAGATACAAAAACCTAGTTTATTAGAGGGTTATTGTGTAAAAGCGACGTCTTTGATTCAATTTCCCATATCGCTTTCTTTATACTTCCTGATTCTGGCATGCATTAATTTGACAGCAGTCGCTCCTATTAATCCTCTCTAAGGCTACATTACAACAAACCGGGTTTGATTCTAGCATCATATCAAACCTGACAATAGTACTTCAGTCCCTATCATGTTCTCCATAGAATAAAATGAGAGACTTTTCATTATTTTTAGAGTTCATGCCAGAATCAGGCCTAATACATAGTATATTAACTATCATACTAGGATCCATAAAAAATGGCTACGGTGATGGTGTTGTGTATTTATTTAGTACTTAAATCATAAGCTTATAGATTACATAATTTCTTAAAGAAAAAATCCCTATTTAAGTATTTTCGTGATTCGTAGGTATATCTATGTATGTACTTAGTTTGTTGGTTCTTGGAACTGATTTATTATTGTGATCTGATTAGCAATATATTTATACTGAGCGTATTGCGTTGTTTTTTTTAATCCTCGCATGTCATGACACTTGCGTGTTGCCTAGTGAATGAAATGATACAGAGAAAAAAATCCACGCGGGTCAATGTTAGTGTTGAATTGTTTCTAGTATTTTAACTTTAGGCTTCAATTTCTAGTAAAATTTTCTATTGATTTAAAAATCTAGCAGTTAAATGCTTAATAAATAAAAATGTATCTGGATATTGGTGTCGATTCTGGCATGATTCCTAAACCTGAAATATTTTTTTATAACAGTATTCTTTTCATGCTCTATACAGAATGAAAAGAGAGGCTGATGTTAAATTTTATTTTAAATTTAGGGTTTCATGCCAGAATCGGCACTTGGCTATTTATATTATTTAACTATATGTGAACATTATAGTCCGCTCAAATGTTGAGGTCAACGGTCAAAAAATGGGTATTCGCTATTTTCATGAAAACGGTAAGTTTTATGGTAAAATTACCTTTGATAATAAATGTGGATCATAAAATCATCTATAATAAGGCAATATTCTTTTTCCTAAGAGTCACTGTTCCTGAGATATAATGATTCAAACTTTAAGCGTCATAATATGCACACGTTTTCACGCTACCTCTGAGGTAGTGCACCTAGCGCGTTTTAGTAGTGGGCCTATTCTGTTGTGATGCTGTTTATATATACCTAAATATATATACAGGGTGCCCACGACTACCTCACACGGAGGGAAAGTATATTAAATATTGAAGATAGGATATTTTACTGAAAGAAGACATCATTTTATTTTTAATATTAATTAGAACTGCATTCACAGATTTTTTAAAAATAGCCTGCTACAAATGTCGTGATCAATTAATTGGAAACTATTGCTATTAAATTATAGATTATAGTTAATTTAACAAATAAAAGCCAAAGGTTGGATTTATGATAAATGCGATGGAAATTAAAAAAAACAGAGAAAGTTATTAGTTCGAATCTAGTCTTCAATAGGCTAGTTGAGCCTTTTTGGAAAAAGGTTTTAAATGGTTAATAAATGTTCTATTAGACCGATAAAAATGGATTGTATTTTTTTGAGACCTAGAAAGCTACAAATCTTTAATTTTAAAATAGACTTTTCATGGACATACAAAAACGCTGTCGGCCATTTTAGTCTATAGATTATCTATGCTATGACGTTGACGGTAGTAAACAAAAACTCGTAAGCACGTAGAAAATAACCTATCTGAGTTTATAATAATAAAAAACATGATTTCTAATAGATACCACGAAAAATATAGTAATTATCATTATTGTATTGTACGAGAATGTAAAAACACATCCTTGAAGACTCCAGGAAAGTTGTGGATTAAAGTGCCGAAAGAAATTAACCTACGCAATACCTGGTTAGAACTGTCTAAAAGTGATCCTGCTACTTTATCGACTCATAGAAAAAAATATTTATGCGACGAAGATCACTTTGATGTAAGTACTCATTGAATAATATTTGAAGTCTCTTCATTTATTATCGGTTTTAGTAATACAAGTTTTAAAGTTATGTATGAATGACATTTAGTTGTTTACTAAAAGAGACGTCACAACTATGGCGGATGTAGCGAACAGCGTTTTTAGTGTTTAAAAGGTATAGACTAAAAATATTTTTTTTAAATTAAATTTCTACAGCAATCTCCTGCTTTTATGAAGTAAAATCGATATATTTAGGTTCCTTAGACCAAATACTTTAAGAAATAAACATTTATTTAATACAATTCGACATGAGTCAACTAGCCTTTTACTTTTGCTTCTTTTTTTTCTATTTGACCTTCTCCTTCTTCTTCTTGATATTCTTCTTCTACATCCAGGGTGTAATTGAATTGCATCAGCAGCGAAGTATCACATGTTTCTTCGTTGGTAGCAAACGAATCCTGTACTGTTGGTGATTCCACATTATAACACGACAGGCCTTGACAATTTGTACATGCCAGAGAACAAAACAGTCCAACTTTTTTGCAACCACAAATAGAACTGCATCCCTTTTTATAGTTGCAAAAACTTATGTTTCGCAGTTTTTCTGGCACTGGTAGGAGTAAAGTCTGAATTAGTTCTAATGTATTGTCGACCAACTTTCACGCACACTTGAACTTGGTAATATAAATTCTCGAAAAAGACGTTTATGAGCAGCAAGTGAGATTATATTAACGTGTCGTGGTGTGTCGTGACGCATCTGTTTCATACAGTTATTATGGGTGAGAAAGAAAGAGAGGTTAGAGCGTCGACACGCCACGAAACGTAAATCTCTAACCATAGTAAATGTATGAAACCTTTGTGCTTCTGGCATGCCACGACACCACAAGTTAATAAGTTTCTGGCTTAAATGCATCGCTTTCAGTGTGGCCTGCTGCGATAATATGCAATACACTTTACTATGGTTAGATTGATCACATAACCCCTTATTAATAAACGATCAATAAGCTCAGACTAGTTACGCCGTCTTCTGTTCATGTCACTCAAATGCAATTTGTCATTCAATAAACAGAGACAAAACATGGAGTAACGAATCCAAGCGTAGTCTTCGTTTATTAATAAGGCTGAAAGAGATTAGGTTCGCACTAACCTATTTATTAAATAAAAAATGTTTATATGAAAATTAATAGTGTTTAAAAGTACCGTAGTGATTTATGTAAGCACTTGGTCTGATTTGTTTTCCCCAAAAATCAAGTCATGCAATTTCCAGGGTACTTTTTTACAAAGCTGGTATCCCAGCAACTGTCAAATCAAACGTAACCGTCGTTGTGCAGCTGCCGCAAGATTTTTTGTTTACTATTGAAATAGACAAATTATGAATTAAAATTATAATAAAGGAGCACTTCATAAATGAAACAAACTTTTAAAAATTGTCTAGAATACATCCTGTGAACTGTTCAAATGCCTAAAAGTGTTATTCATTGTAATCCAGGTAAGAATAATTTACGAAAACTTCTTCGTCTTCTAATTTGTGAACTTTAATCTGGGATTTAGATTTAAATGTACTTACACACATTACTAATAATCATACTTAGTTATATGTATGTTATGGTAAGTAATGATGATATTTCTTTCGTAAACAACCTTTAATACCAAAAACTGTTACTCACAAACAAACATTGTCTTTCAGTCAACTATGAGTTTCGTGGATAACAACCAATTCGAAGTGAAACCAAACCCGAAGAGCAAGAGGAAGATCACAACCCCTTGTCCCAACACTTATCACAACCCTGGACTAGATCTTCTAGCGAACGAGGATCCCATGTGCAACACAGCCATGGAGGTGTTACCCGTGAAGAAAAGAAAACGATCAAAGAGCTGCGATGTTGCTGCATTTGAGAATGTTTGCCTAGACTCAGGCGTAAGCAAGGCGGCAGTCAATGAGTTCCTGGCTAAAGAACTGGAGAATGTACGTAAAACGATGAGACAGTGCGATACTGTGATCATTAAAGAGATGTCAACATGCACCCAGAATTCATATAGCTTAACCGCTGACAAAGAAAACATTATGCCAGATAAAGCTTCACCAATTTATACTAATGTAAATATTTTCAAAGATATAACAGAGATTACTCTGAATGAAGAAGAGTCAGTAACCTCAATATCTAATACCCCCCAATGTATGGATATGAATAGATTTGAACCAAATATCAGTGCCATTGAAATGGATTCTGGTATATCAGTTTTAGAACAAAAATCCTTTTCAGCAGCAACAAATAGTCAAATTATTAATGATGACACTCTTGATACATCAATAAATGCTGTAAATTTACAGAAAAATGTCACAAACCAAGTGATAATTAATAACACTAGTAATATAAATCTCAGCTTTATTGATCGTTTAGCATTAGACTCACCAAACCTTTCTAACCAATCATTGTATTTTGATGATGATTTAAATGAAAGTAACATAATGGAAATAAAAACAATTACAATCATTACCAAGAAGAAGAAAGTAGTTGACAAAAAAAGGAACACAAATCCATTTTTGGACCCCAATTTGGATGATAACTATTCCGATAATATAGAGAATCCATTTCTCAATGTGAATGAAACTAAACCTGAGTTAGAATATAATGATGTAGCAATGGCTCGACAGATTGAAAACAATATACCTCATGGAAGTAATATAATGCCTCGTAGATTATTTACTGGTGACACAAACAGTACCATATCAACAGTTAACGAATCTATGAACAATGACCACCATGACTACGAAAATATTGACAATTACAGGAGTGAAAGCCCTATCTATGAAAATGTAAGTGAAGAGATGATTGAAGCATACAACAAACAAAGCAAAATCCTGGGGTGTGACGTTTCAAGATTCAGTGCAATCGACATTATGAATCTTAACAAGCAAATTGAGGCAGACACTTCTAATGAATCCAACAATGCAAAGAAAGATTTCAAGCACCAAATACTCAAAGCCAGTAATAAGTTATCCAAGAAAGTGTTTAAGACACTAAAGAGAACATTCAAACATGATAAAGTAGACCACAATGTTACTTTGAATCCTTATGAAGTACCGAGGAAACCACCCAAACAAAAATCAGTTCCTAAAGACTCGGGCATAGAAAACCCAGCCCTTAACTTAGACAATTCTGATGAAATTGAGATAGAAGAAATAGATGATGAGGAACATCAGTATGAAACAGTGAAAACTATCAGGAATACACAGCTGAACATGAATGTGACACCTTTGAGGGAGAGAGCACTTGACAATGACATATCTCAAAGCAAACCTAACACACCAGGGAAGAAGGTCCGGTTTGATTCAACACTTAACCAAGAGAAAGTCATAACTGGAAATAGTTTTGATTATGGCATACAAAGTCCTGGGTTCGATGCTAAAATTGATAAATACCATGATGAATTAGAGAATTGTATCAATGAGAGGAAATTTATTCAGCAAAACATGTGATTTGTGATACACTTAACCAAAATAAGCGGTAAAGATGTCCATTGACAAATTAAATCATGGAAAATACGATTGTGAAATAGTGTTTTTTTAGAAATACATATTGAAAGTTCATGAGATATAGGGGCCATGAAGTTCGACTTTAGCAAAAAAATGTACACCTTATGGTACTTGAATTTACAGTATTTTTCAACATTTATAAAATATTTCTTCTTACAGTAATGAGTATTTGCAGAGATTTTAACTTATTATAGTTATGAATTTATAATTTACATATTTTTTTGTATATATTTGTGCCACTAGGTACTGGCTGGCCAGTGATTAATATTTAAGTATTAGGGCGCTTTCAATTTATGCGTTTCTTGACGGCCTGCTGCGGTGCCGAAGCGGTGCGTTTGTCGTACAGCGTACGGACGATCCTTTTTTTTCATACAAAACGCGCGGTGCGGCAACAGTGCTGTTGTCGAGCGTTCGCGGTACCGGCGCCGCATTGATACCATTTTTTATCTTGCCAGAACTCTTTTTTGTTCTATTATGTAAATCCTATTTTAAGAGTAAGAGATGTCAGTTCTAAAATATTATTGAAAAGATTATTTATTAATGTAATTTTCTAAAATAATGTTTTAGTTGTCTCCAAACTGCATTAAAAAAAACTAAATGGCAGACAAACTTATGTTATTATTAAGCAGGTACAATAAGTCATTAAAGTCATTGCTTTTATCCATTCCAAAGTATTTAACAAAGATTATTTTTATTGTCTTTTTTGTTTATTTATATCTAATTAGGATTTGATAATAATTAGTTGTAAGTATTTTATTTCTTAATGACACTTGCCTTTAAAATAAATATAATGCCGAGGGCAAAAGTAACGTTACTTAATGTTTACATAATATTGAGGCTTGTCAACAACACTTAAGTACTTAATTTGCCTAAGTTTTTTTTCAATTAATTTATGATTTACAAAATAAATATATTTTTTACACTTGTGTTTTTTATTCTGGATCCTTAAAACTGTTAAAAATAATTATCTATTTAATTTACTACACCTGTGAGTGTAGGGAAACCTTGGGAATCCGTTTTCATAGCCACTTAAGCCGTAGGGCAAATCCCCACCAACCACCCATGCAGCGACGTAGCGTGGGTGCCAGCTGCCCGAGGCGAAGGATAATTTTGCCGCCCTCTTATTCAAATGGTTGAAATATTTTTATTATTTATTGTAAAATTTTGCCGCCCCCTATGAAGTGCCGCCCCCACTACGCTACGCCACTGCACCCATGACCTGACGAACCTTGGTTATGCAGGCCGAAGTAGCGGGAGATACGCGCGGAATGGCCTTTACCGCGCGTACTTTTGCTCTCAGTAGTAAACTTCTTTTTATTTTTTCATAATGGCGGTCACTTGTGGACTTCGCCAGACTCGAATTATTAGGTTTGCTTGGTTGTTTCACATTGACTCCGCTTTTGTTTTTGAAGTATGTTGTGAAACCACAATGTGTGTATGAATGAGTAACAATGGACTATTATTATTTTGGTATTGTAGATCTGTTGTCTTATCTACATAAAAGCTAGGGACAAATATAATAAAATTATTAGGTATTGTTAGTTGGTTAGTTGTACCGCCAGGAGGTGGAGGAACCCCTGCTGGGGGTAACGTGGAGAGTCACCAGGATCCCACGAAACCCGTTCCGGCAGGCGAGGAAGCACTGTTGGGTTTTTAGTGGGTAGGGCCCCCCCTCGTCCCGAGCAGCCGCTGAGCCAGTTTGGCTGAGCGGGTGGGCGGGATTTGGGGGGAGGTGGAGGTGTCCCACTTAACCCCGACTCACCCAGGAGCGGGGTATGCGTCAAACATTTTCCCAACAATAAAAAAAGGTACTGTACGTATAAGTATATTTTATATAGAAATACATTTTAAACCTCCATAACTAGAGTACAAATGCTCGTATTCGTCACACAAACATCTGCCCCCACCGGGAAAACTGTATTCATACGAGTACATGACATGGGTTCCCATACTCGTTCATATCACCATGGTACTAGAAAGGTAAATTAAAGAAACCCGACTGCTAATTATTATTTTAAATAAAAACTGAAAATAAAAAAAAAACAATACTAGCCGCACCGCGCGTTTTGAATGAAAAAAAAGGATCGTCCGTACGCTGTACAACAAACGCACCGCTTCGGCACCGCAGCAGCAGACTGTCAAGAAACGCATAAATTGAAAGCGCCCTTAGACTACTAGTATTGTTTTTTTTTTTCAGTTTTTATTTAAAATAATATTTAGCAGTCGGGTTTTTTAAATTTACCTTTTAGTACCACGGTGATATGAATGAGTATGGAAACCCATGTCATGTATGAATACAGTTTTCATTTCACCACCGAGTCTTTTATTCATTTTATTATCAGAATCACCGCTTTATTCGCACGCTTACGTTTTATTGGTATATCATTTATACTAATAGAATCCTATCAAGATTGTGTGTTATTTATGGGTGCTATAAATATTTTGCTTTAAATATTTTATTTGCGTTGATTTTGAATGTCAAAGAAGGTGAACTATAAGTTACCTAGCGGGCCAATTTTATTTTACGTTATGAGCATTTTATAAAAGGTGGCCCATTTCATCATCAGCCTATTAATGTTCCCACTGCTGGGGCACAGGCCTTCCCTATGGATGGAATAGGGAGATTGGGCCATGACCCACCACGCGGGCCAAGTGCGGATTGGCGGGTGCTGACGACTGCATATGCAGCCGGGACCAACGGCTTAAAATGCCATCCGAAGCACGGAGGAGCTCGAGATAGTAATTCTTGGTCACCCATCCAATGACTGACCACCGCGAAAGTTGCTTAACTTCAACGATCGCAGCCGAACGCGCTAACCACTTGCGCCATCGAGCTCCTCGGTCCATTTACAGTGGTTCAAACATTTTTTTTTGGTGGAGAACTTCATGACGAATCATTTAATAAATAAATGCAGCCGACTAACTTAATCAGGAATTAAGTTAACGGCCTAGCCTAGCGCAACGTTTAACCAGATGGCTGAAGGTCCTGTAATTAGCTTTCTGATTAATTGTTCAAATTTGGTTAAATTAGATTGCCAAACCAACCTTGATGAATAGAGCTACAAATTAATAAATTCTAAGTGTCATATCGGTCCTAGGTGGGACCGGTCCTACCTGTGAACGGTCCTGGGTGGGACCGACTATCATACATCGAATAGAGCTACGATTTAATATTTACACGGAAACTGTCGGTAAAGTTGATTATGTGTACAGTCCCTCTCATGTTTACAGTCTATTACTCAGTCTGTAGACTGTAATAGTCTATTACCGTTTACAGTCTATGAGTCTATTTACAAAAAAATGGCATAACATATAATTACTCCCCGTTCAAATCAGCGCTTTTTGAAAACTCAAAATTGATTAAAAATATAAAAATGAAATTCTCACACAAGTTAGGTCAGGGGCTAGGACTATTAACTAGATGGCTGCGACATATATATATATATATTACTAGCGGCCCGCCCTCGCTTCGCTTCGGTGTAGAGCTGAAGTGTAGACTACAGTTTTTGTTCTCAGGCTTGTATTATACACATTGATCCATGATTTTTCTTATACCTGCATGCAAAGTCTCAGCCCGATCGGTTTAAAATTGACAAAGTTTCATACAAACTTTCATTCCCTATTTTATCCCCTTGGGGGTAGAATTGATCAAAATCCTTTCTTAGCGGATGCCTACGTCATAACATCTACCTGCATGCCAAATTTCAGCCCGATCCGTCCAGTGGTTTGGGCTGTGCGTTGATAGATCTCTATGTCAGTCAGTCAGTCACCTTTGAGTTTTATATATATATATATAGATATGATAAAATATATATCTTACGACATCATTGGCCAAGTGATATATACGCCGGGTTTCACGGTGTCGCCTACTCAGAGATCCCGGGTTGAAATCCCGGTGAAGGCAAACGTAGTAACGTAGTATTATGACGAATACCTTATTCCTGTATGTTTATATATATTTTTGGATAAAACATACTTATATTATGTATCAGTATTTGTATTCTATCCGTTACCCCTAGCATCTCATAACATAAGCCGTACAGTACTTTGGGGCTAGTCTAATTTGGTGTGAGTGTGGAAATATTTATTTATTTAAGTAATAAATATTCTCTATTACAATCAAGTTATTTATCGAACCCTCTCTACCAACGGCTACGTCGTCATAATAACTTTATGTAATCATTACGATTTCCAGTAAAGTGTGAAGGTTATCAAAGAAAAGGAAACTACGTAACGCGCCCCCATTAAAACTTGTGTTTGATACAAAAGGTTGATCGAACTGTTTTGTTATAAAAAGTTTGTTAACTTCTATCCAGCGCCGAAGTTTGCGAGAAGTTGTTTGCTAACATTAATAGGTTTGGAAAAGTGTGCCTTGCCTCTTAAAGTATTTTCCAGTAACCCTTTAGTCCTTTATTAGTGCTCCTCCCTGTCAGACCTAATGGACGTAGCTAGGGAAGGGCTAAACTGGGCAATGCCTACTCTTAAAATCTCTTTCTGCGAGAATTCGAATTTCATATAATTTGAAAATTAATGTAAGTTATGACGTGATTGCGTCTTATAAATCTATGAACGCCGGCTGCACGCACGATAAAGTGTCACGTTCCTCCTGAGCCTGAGGATGCAAGCGAGAGCGCGTAAAAAGCGACAGAGAGGCCCGATCTGCCCAAGCATCGGCTTGTACACATTAACCTCACTTCTCGTGTGACGTCAGAGCTAGCAATTATTCTTCAATGCTTCTTTGATGACGTGATCACTTAAAACTATCGTCCCTAAACCGACTTTACATACACCGACACCACGTAGGGATTTATTAACGCTCATTACTGACCTATATTTTGATTTGAGGTTTACTAAATCTAGGATGAAAATCGTAAGTGGTTCAAGACGCAAGAGTTTAAAGCCTGCCTTTACAAGAAACACTCTCTAGCTACGCCCATGCACTTTAGTGACCTAACACTAAGTAAGGTACTCTCGGCGACGTACATACATAAAGACGCACGACAATGCATTAGTTAAACTCTGAATGCAGTTAACCTTTACCCCGTGGGCGGGGACAGCCTTGAGTGCAATTGCAATCATTGGATAATCGCCTGCAGATCAGCACGTACTCAGTGTTTTGTTGGTAGTGGCATAGTTTCCTGTGCTTCAATATGAGCAAATTCTTATTCTGCTACCATAAAATTTTCTTCTTAAACTCGTGTTGAACGCGTATCTTTTTTGTGTTACTAATAGCATAAAAGTTTTTCGCATATTAAACCAAATCTAATAAATATAGTGTGTACCTTTATTATCTGATTTTGATTTATTATAGCTAATTATGTAAGAAACAAAACAAAAATGAGGATACTAGTTTTTTTTTTCATTTTGTTGACATGTGTTTTTCGTTTCTATTTATAATCTTTGTGTTCAAAAGACAGGTAAAACTTTACTTTCAGAACCGACAACGCTTGGTGTTGCAAGTGTCCATAAGGCAGCAGTGACCACTTTCCACTGTCACTGCCGCCCGGACAGGTGGACAGGCCGGCAGGGTGAGGATGGCTGGTGTGGCAGGTAGAACTGCTGTATCAGCTATCTTCGCGTCTGGACTTCACCTTCACTTAACATCAGGTGGGGTGGAGTCATTTGTCGGACCTATCTATAAAAAAAACAGCTCCTTTGCCTGCACAAACTAAAAAAAAATCTGCGTTCTACCTGGTCCAGCCATAAGTTCTGTTAAAAATGAATATTTTTTAATTAAGTAATGTAATATTATTAAAATTTATACCTACACATTTTATTAAAATCTCAGCAAAAAATAAAAATATATTCTATTCGAAATGGCCTTTGGCTTTTATACAGGCCTTTAATCTGTTTGGCCACGAATCTATGGATTACGTACTGTTCCGCCATTGCTTGCTCCAAAGATTTTTTAAGAGACTCAATGTTGCCGTGTTATTTAGCAGGCCTAGTCCTCTTCAACTGACCATAATTTGAAGTCTAAAGGGTTGAGGTCTTGGCTAGATGAGGGCCTGTCTTTAGCTCTTATATAAAGTCCAGAACGTTGGTTTCAAAGGTTTCAAGCCAGGTTTGGGTAGTTCGTGCCTTGTGACCAGGTGCAGAATCCTGCTGGAAAGTCCACGGTATATATAATAATACTAGCTGGCCCAGGGAACTTCGTACCGCCATAAAAAATAGGGGTTGGTGGTAGAAGGGTGAAAATTTAGAGTTGTATGTATTTTTGTATGATGTATCATAAAAAAATAAAAAAAAAATAGCTAAAATTTAAAAAAAAAAATTAGGGGTGGATTACCCTTAACATTTAGGGGGATGAAAAATAGATGTTGTCCGATTCTCAGACCTACCCAATATGCACACAAAATTTCATGAAAATCGGGGAAGCCGTTTCGGAGGAGTTTAACCACAAACACCGCGACACGAGAATTTTATATATTAGAATATAAATTTTAAAAAAGTGTATTACTGAGAAGTTTCACAACGTGATTCAAGACTGTATCTTGATACACATTGGCTGAAGTTTTCACTACGACTCTTTCTGGTCTTCGCCAGACGAAGTTTTGTTGTATCTGTTGATAGTACGATATACGAACATACGGCTGTTACCAAGTTTTTGAAGTGTCTGAAATATGACCGATGGCTCCATACCCACATTGTGCAAGGCGATCACTGCAATCCTATTTTCTTTAACACCTCATTCCATATTGTAATATGATAATGAACATGAAAAAATATTTAAAAAGGCGCAAAATCGAAAGACGTTTTCAAAATATTAAACGTGTTCCAAAATCAAAATAATTAAAAAGTTGAAAAAAAAAATTTATGCAACAGTATTTATGGCCAGAATATTTTTTAACGTATTAAAAGCAATGAAAACAACAGCCAGAAAGGCAAGCTGATGAGTCTCTTTTATGTTGGTGGTGATTTTACGTGAACAGAACGGAAAGTTTCATCTATTTGTGTAACAGGACCCACCCTTGTTTTTATAATGGTACCTATATATGTCGCAGACTAATGAGTCGATAAATGCCAATTAACTGGCACGACGTACCACACACCACAACCTTTATGAAAGTCGACCATCTTTGTTTACTTTTACGTATTGGTGCCTATCTAATTACCTTTTCCACCTGATATCAAATGTGATTGGATTTAACGAAATATGGGGCATATTTTCGGGTAAATAAGTGAGAAGATTTGGTCTTACTCGATGTAGGAAAGCCAAAAGGGAAGATCTTTCTCCGAGCTGGGTGATGGTAGCTCGGGGGCCTCCTCCGAGCCTCCGAGACTGATGTTGGTCGGGCATCGTATATATCGAGTGTTAGCCTCCGAATTTTACTTGCGCGATTTAGGCTTCCATACGTTGAGAGCGCAGCGCCGGTAACGCCATCTCTTGAGGTGACGTAAGATTATTTCCTCCATGTTGGTTATATGTGGGGCATGTAGATGTCGCCGCCACAATCGAAATCTATATATATATAAAACTCAAAGGTGACTGACTGACATAGTGATCTATCAACGCACAGCCCAAACCACTGGACGGATCGGACTGAAATTTGGCATGCAGGTAGCTGTTATGACGTAGGCATCCGCTAAGAAAGGATTTTGATCAATTTTACTCCCAAGGGGATAAAATAGGGAATGAAAGTTTGTATGAAACTTTGTCAATTTTAAACCGATCGGGCTGAGACTTTGCATGCAGGTATAAGAAGAATCATAGATGAATGTCATTGTGTATAATACAAGCCTGAGAACAAAAACTGTAGTCTACACCGAAGTGATGCGAGGGCGGGCCGCTAGTCAAAAATATAACTCAAGCTTTTTTTTGACCCACCCCCTACTGTGGAGCCCAGGAGGCCTACTCTATTTCAGCTACACACGAAATTTCGATCAAAATTTCGCACGTACCTTACTCTGTTTTTTTTTGAAGTGAAACTTCTTTAAGCACGCTTGATTTGGAGGATAAGCTGACGAATGCGTTACGCGTTACGAAAAGTATGTTCGGGCGAGGCGAACGGAAGTTCAGTGGGGAATATAAGCAAGAGAAAACAGTGCACGTGCACAGTTTCTTTTTCTCTTTCTCTTATAGCTAGTAAATGAAATATGTATATGTACATATTGTGCACACACACATGTGTATATATATGTTACGGGCAATTTGATAAGTCCGGGCACTATTAATAATGGCCGGTTTGTATTAATAATGCCCGACTCAATTAGGCAATGTGAATAAAACAGCATGATTATTTACTTTCCCCGGCCATTATGAAAATTGCCCACCCTATCTTGGGCAAAGTAATAAAATAGGTAAACTGTAGTGTTTTTGTTTATTAAATGAAATTAAATTTACAAAATTTTCATGAAAAGTTAACAAAAATAAATATTGAACATAGTTATTAAAAAATAAACAGTTAAAAATGTAATAGCATCAGTAGTTACATACTTTTATTTTGATAAAAATATTACTTAAGAACAATAATTTAAAAATTAGTAAAGTGAGAAAAAACAACAGAAATATCTAATAATTAAGGACTGTGCAAGAAAGTTATTTAGTTTAGAATTATTTATTCCTGCAAGATGAGTTTTTGTGGGTTTTAACACTACTTTTTATAGGCTTAACCACCAGCCCCTTTTTTGGAACACTTAATTTTTTTTGACATGGTTCACACAAAGTCAAATACAACGCTACAAACTCTTTAGTAATATTTTTGTACTTCGGTTTGAGCTCTTTCATCATCCTATTTCTACCTTTATGCCCGATAGAAATGTGAGTTTCGTGAATAATATCAAACTTTTCTTCCAAATAACAGTAATATTGAATTGGTTCATTGTCATTTTTCACTGGTACGATTAATTTTTTAACTGTTCCGATCTTCACTATGTCATACCTCGACAATCGCTGATATTCCTCCGGAGTTTTACCTGCGATCTTGTCTTTTGCCACTTGCACTTTCTTTAAAAATGAATAATACTCATCGCGAGAAAATAACTGAGTATTTTTCCCCTTTGTTAATTTTAATTTATGAATTTCTTCGTTAAAGCGTCTTTTCATATCTATCATTTCCATGTATGCCGCCCTTTTGCGAGTAGTACTCAATGCACTAACGTGTTCTCGTTCCGAAGTATTATTGCAAACTAACATGTCGCTGCGTGCGCGCGCCGCCCTCCCCCCGCACGTACGCGGCCCCTGTCCAATTAATCACAATGCCCGGCTACAAGGCATTATTCATACTGCTCGGTCCAGGTGATAAATTCAAGCTATCTCAAACACTGACTTATTACATGGACCACGGGCCGTCGGGCATTATAAATAATGGCCCGTCAAAGTGATAAATTAATCCCTTACGCCATCGCTCTTGTTCATTATTAATAATGGTCGGTCCTTATTAATAATGCCCAGTTAATCACGTTGCCCATAACATTTAAATATATAAATAGAGTAGACTAAAGAAGTTTCACTTCAGTCGTGTGGTTATAAGCACACACGTTTTTTTTGTTTACAAAAATCGTTTCTCGCGGTAATAGTTTCAAAACCATTATTATACCTAAATATTGTTTTATAGTTTGTAGAAGCTAAATATTTACCAGTAGCTTTGCGCAAGGTTCGTAATTTATTTGAGACTAATCACCCTTAGTTAGAGTGCACAGTCCGATAGCTGTGTTGTCTCAGCGTGTTTAGAGTACATTATTGCGGCTTAGTTTCAATCAACTGTGCAAATACTTACGTCATATAGGTGTACAAGTATTAAATCTAGTTGTCTTAGGCTGAGAACTCACGGCACTGTTTATTCCTGCGCACGTCGCTTAGAAAGTGAAATTGTAAGTTAAACGCAAAAGCACACGGTACTAGTGTTCTTGAAAATTTTACTCAACCGTAAAAATTCAACTCATAAAACTATACCACATATTATATTCGATAAATATTTATAACCATATCGTTTAAAAATATTCATTCAATTCGTGTCGATTTTAAGGCGATGATGATATTAATTCGTGTAGATAAATATAACCGACTGATAAAATATTCGTAAATAATAATTTCTATCACAGATCGAACTTATAAAAAACATTGACAATAAAGCAACATGTGAAAAATTATCAGTACCTTTACAACGAACCAATATCGAATTCGAAAAGTTTGCGAGTTCGAAATGTTATTGTCAAATTTTGTATGGAAACTTGAATACCAGCGCTAACGACAACTAAAAATCAGTACAGATATTGTATTTGAATAAAAATATTACCTACGATTTTATTTATTTTTTAAGCATTTAACTGCTAGATGTTTAAATCTAAAGAAAAGTTTACTAGAAAAAAATCCACGCGGACCAGGCAGCGGACGGGACTCGAACCCGCATCCTTCGCTATCCGGGCGAATGCACTGACCATTATGCTACCACGGCCCTATTAGCCGCGTCGAAATTTTCCTAGCCTTAAGCTGCAAGGCAGCGCCATCTCTTCGCATTGTAGGTAACCCACAATGTGAAATGAATACTTTTTCAAGTATTAAACATTTGAAAGAAGAAATAGCAATTATAGTTATGATTTTATTTATTTTTTAAGCATTTAACTGCTAGATGTTTAAATCTAAAGAAAAGTTTACTAAAAGTCCCGTCCGCTGCCTGGTCCGCGTGGATTTTTTTTCTAGTAAACTTTTCTTTAGATTTAAAAATATTACCTGATATTTTTAACCATTAAAATTATCTGATATCTCTATTCCGCTATTAACTTTTAAAATATTTTCACCCATTAACACCACCTTTACGCGGCATGATTTACGCCCGCAGAGCGCGCGAAACCGTAGCGGGCACGCGCGGGACGCGATTTCCCGCAGACGCGGCGGGCTTCGCCCAATCTCGCTGTCGAGGCAGGACACTGCGGTCTTATTTGTTTTGAAATAAAACGACTCTGCGGCTGGGGGAAAGCCGCTCCGTGAGTTCTTAGCCTAACGAAGCTTTAACTGAATAAAATTACGTGTAAAAACATGGAATAAAGCAGATTCCCTGGTTCAGAACATTCGTGAAGAATTTCGATATAACCTTCTATGGTCGGGGACCATGCCCCGCAATGGCGAACTCAATGAAATATTTAATTTGCAATTATCGATGTACCTTTTGTTGACATTAAAAAAATATATAGAGTACCTTCTATGTACAACAGACAAACGGAACGCTTGAAAATACTCCCTTTCTTCCCTATCATCGTCATTATTACGCTTATCTCTGTTGGGGAATAAGCCTTCACTGTGGGTGGGATAGAGAGATTGGGCCATGACTAGTGTTGCCAGGTGTCCCGATTTGCGCGGGACGTCCCAATTTTCAGGGGTCTGGGGACGCTAAATGTCCCGATTAATCAAAAAATTAAATTTAGGTTATTAATATAATACTATACCTGCACTGTAGTTTATAACACAATTAATTAAAAACAGAATTAAAAAATCCCTAGTTTTTTGTTTACTGTCCCGATCTGCAACCCTAAATCCCGATTTTATTAACCTCATGTACCGATTAAAAACAAATCTGACCTGGCAACACTAGCCATGAACCACCACGCGGACCCAGTGCGGTTTGGTGTAAGCTAGGATCAACGGCTTATAGCTTAAGCAGATGAGGGACTCTTGTCCGCGGAGGACGACAATCATGAATAAAATGAAATCGGGTTCGACGGACGAACATTTGTTGCCAGAAAATTTAGAGAAACGCACGCTATGGATGTAAGTATTCTCAGATTATTACGTTGTTTTGTAATAAAGATTTAGTTTATGAAGAATAGAAGACGTTTGCCATCTCTTGAAATCGGATAGAGCGCGCAACGCAGACTAAATTTCCCTGTGTGCATTGCTGCGCCGAGTCACATGAGTTCTAGTTTTTTCGTGTACACCCCCGTACTTTTGTTCAGTCCGGTCTCTCGGTGTCCTCAGTTATTCGTAAGGACTTTTTGTACGCGGTATTTTTAAATCTGTATGCGGTATTCAACATATAGCATATGTCCCTCGTCTGCGTAAGCTATTAACCACAGAACACAGAAAGGGTAGAAGGGTGACCACAGACCGTTTGTACAGGAACCGATGTTGAAATGAAATGAAATGAAATGAAATGAAATGAAATGAAATGAAATGAAATGAAATGAAATGAAATGAAATGAAATGAAATGAAATGAAATGAAATGAAATGAAATGAAATGAAATGAAATGAAATGAAATGAAATGAAATGAAATGAAATGAAATGAAATGAAATGAAATGAAATGAAATGAAATGAAATGAAATGAAATGAAATGAAATGAAATGAAATGAAATGAAATGAAATGAAATGAAATGAAATGAAATGAAATGAAATGAAATGAAATGAAATGAAATGAAATGAAATGAAATGAAATGAAATGAAATGAAATGAAATGAAATGAAATGAAATGAAATGAAATGAAATGAAATGAAATGAAATGAAATGAAATGAAATGAAATGAAATGAAATGAAATGAAATGAAATGAAATGAAATGAAATGAAATGAAATGAAATGAAATGAAATGAAATGAAATGAAATGAAATGAAATGAAATGAAATGAAATGAAATGAAATGAAATGAAATGAAATGAAATGAAATGAAATGAAATGAAATGAAATGAAATGAAATGAAATGAAATGAAATGAAATGAAATGAAATGAAATGAAATGAAATGAAATGAAATGAAATGAAATGAAATGAAATGAAATGAAATGAAATGAAATGAAATGAAATGAAATGAAATGAAATGAAATGAAATGAAATGAAATGAAATGAAATGAAATGAAATGAAATGAAATGAAATGAAATGAAATGAAATGAAATGAAATGAAATGAAATGAAATGAAATGAAATGAAATGAAATGAAATGAAATGAAATGAAATGAAATGAAATGAAATGAAATGAAATGAAATGAAATGAAATGAAATGAAATGAAATGAAATGAAATGAAATGAAATGAAATGAAATGAAATGAAATGTCATTTATTCAGTCTAGGCTGTTACAAACACTTGTGAAGGTCAAGAAGCTACGCCATCGGTTCGCAAATCTACGGCGGGAGACCTTGTACTGAGAAGAACCGGCAAGAAACTCAGCAAGGGCTGTTTTTTTTCTCCCTGTATTGTTATATACAGTGTCGTCAAGTTGAAAAATTACTTCAGAAATACGTCTGAAGTCACTTTCCATTACATCATCTAGAATATAAATATGTAGTTACAATTAATTTTATAGTTAACATTTTAATTAGTATATAGGAAGCGGCATTAGATAGGTACAATATTACTGTTATGAAAAATGAGTAATACCCATTTAATATCAAATTATAAGAAACACTATGTCCATGCATTACGATCATTTAGATAATCATCAACTTTACAATAGCCCTTATTCATAAGAGTATTTTTGATCTGAGATTTAAATTTAGTCAGTGGAAGCTCAATCAGATCTTGGGGAACTTTGTTAAACAATGCAATACTACAACCCAGAAATCAACCTCTTGATTTTTGGAGTCTGAAACATGGAACGGCAAGCTTGTTCTTAAATCTCGTGTTAAAATTATGGGATTGACTTTTTTTTGCAAATTCATCATAGTTTTTTCTTACATATATTAAATTTTCATAAATGTATTGCGACGCCAGTGTTAAAATATTAATTTCTTTAAATTTTTCTCTAAGGGATTCTCTTGCTTTTAAATTGTATATGTCGACTCGCCCCCGCTACACTTCCACCTAATAGATAATAGCCAATCAAAGGACGCGACATCAAACAATAATAAATAAATATTTCCAACACTCACATCCATTAGCCTAGTCCCAAAGTAAGCTATTAGGCTTGTGTTATGGGATGCTAGGGTAACGGATAGAATACATACACTGTACATATGTAAGTATATTTTTAAGAAAGACATATTAAACATCCATGACTGGAGTACAAATTCTCGTATTCATCACACAAACATCTGCCCACACCGGGATTCGAACCCGGGACCTCTCGAGTCGGCGACACCATGAAACCCGGCAACCCCAATCAGCGCTCATGCCTGAGAGCAACGACGCAATCACAACCAAATTTTGATCAAGTTATGAGCATTTCATCATCATCATCATCATCATCAGCCTATTAATGTCCCCACTGCTGGGGCACAGGCCTTCCCTATGGATGGAATAGGGAGATTGGGCCATGACCCACCACGCGGGCCCAGTGCGGATTGGTGGGT